TTTATGATCTAGCCCATTCCACTCCTAAGAAGAGAAAACATATCTCTACATAAAGACTCATACATATATGTTCATAGCATCTTATAATACCCACAAACTTCAAGGAACTCAAATCTCTCTCTCTATGGAACTGAAAAAACCAAATTGTGATTTATCTATATAACGGAATATTATTTAATAACAAAACACAATGACCTTTTGATCCAGTGACATTGGTGGATGTCAAAGTAATGCTGAGTGAACAATGCCGCTCAAAGAAAAAAGGTAAATTTTGTATTATTTCATTTATATAAAAGTCTAGAAAATGAAAGCTAATATATAGTGACAGAAAATATTTCAGTGTTTGCTTGGGATGGAATGAAGGAAGGACAGGATGAGAGGAAGGTGTTACAGAGGGGCATGAGAAAAATTTTGATGGTTAACAGGTATAGTCAGTATAGCGTTTGTGGGGACGGTTACATGTGTGTATAAATATGTCAAAAATTATCAAAGTGTATACCTTAAGTATGTGCAGTTTATTGAACATAAACCAAGCCTTAATAAAATGTATGCTTGTTATATGCCAGATATTTTGCTAGGTGTTTTTGTGGAATATTCATTTAATTCTGAAAGCACTGTGTGATAGGGATAAGGCTGACTTTAGAGATGAGTAATGTATTTATGGAATAAAAATCTATTCTATAGAGGAGAGCAAGAGTGAAAGAGACAGAGGAAATGGTGATTAGAACCAGAAGTGATTCCTGGAGTAGGGGGAGGAGACAGCGCACAAAAAAGGAAAAGATGATATGGCGGGTTGTATTTTCTAACAATAGGCATGACATTATTTTTCTTGCAGTGTAGCTCTAACCCTCTGACAAATCCTGTGGAGAGGTGGAATCCATGTTCCCTCTTCTTCAGTACGGGGAGGCTGGTGATTTATCAGAGGTAATGCTATGTTTTTTCTAAAGTTATAAAAGGTGATTCACTTTCTTCCTGGTTTTCTTGTGATGCTCCCTTTTAGGACTCCGTTACCATTCTGTGAGGAAGTCCACACAAGCAGAAGAGGAGGTCTGGATGACCTTTACTATATCTGGTCCCATTGATAGCCAGTGTCAATGACCAAACGCGTGGAAGAAGAGCAAGTGGATGAATAGGGCCCCAGCTCTTAACCCCTAGCCTTTGAGTGTCCCCAGTGGAGAACAGAGATGTCTTTGATGTACCCTTTCCAAATTACTCACCCATTGAATGTTTGAGCATAATAAATGGATATCAGTTAACTCCACTACATTTATTTTTTAAAATGCAGTATTGGTAACTAAAATAGTTGACAGGAAAGAAGGGGAAGAAATGGAAATAAGTTTTAAGAAATACTAGGACCAGCCCTCCTGAAAAATTAGATAAGATTTTATGAATCGTTGTACTAATTTTTGATAGTGGATACTTCAAGTATTCGTCTGTGGATTTCTGGGATACAAGGTAGATTCCTTGGCATCATGGGCATCTGGAAGCTTGCCATGGTAGCTAAAGTACTGGAGTGGAAGAAACTCCGTCACCCTCATCCTCAGCCATCTGATCATCCTTAAAAACCCAGAGTGTGGCTGAACAAATGGGTCAGAATTTGTAAGCATCCTATCCCAGAAATAAATATGCAAGAAAACTGTGTTTTAGGTTAGTGCTGTAGTTAACTATACTATAAATTAGCATGTTTTTGTGTAATTTGGATTACAAGAGACATATATGTCTCTTTAGTAGGTTGTTTAAAAAAAAGAATTCTTTAACCTAATTTTGTCTACTCCTTGTATCAGAACCTTGGTCCTTAAGGACCAAGCAGAAGCTTCCCAAATCCATATATATACTTTTAAGATAATGTATGCAATATATACATTATCTTAAAAGTTTCTTTGTTATGAAAATGACAAACGGATTTGAAAATGGAGAACTATTTGTATAATGTGTCAATGTAGCCCAGTACTATTTGTATATACGTGGATTCTGATACTAAAGTCTAGTTTTGCATTACTAGTGAATTGTAACAACTTTTGATCAATGGGCCTGTAATGATTTTCACCTGTCTGAATTCTGTTTTGAGGATTTATAGATTCTTTCTTGTGTGAGACACTCACAGCCTTTGCTGTCTTCTATGTTGATATATTCTTCTTTTTTGATTGAGGAAACTCACTGAGAATTTTTATTTTTGCTTGTTTCATTCAGAATACAGTTTCAGGCTAAGTCTAAATCAGTTGTTTCCTACAGATGTTCATTTCCCTTTAATGTGTCAATTATGTGACTGCTTACTTATCCTGATAATAGAGAAATAGTGGACTAATTTTATAGCTCTTTGGTCTAACCTGAGCACACTATTTGTGCACTAGTGATTGATCTCTCTCTCTCTCTCCCCTCTTCTTCCTTCTTTCTCTCTTTCCCAGAGAACATTATTTGTGGTACACCACAGTAGTAGAAAGAGGATTTGAAAACTCAAAAGTCATTGGAAGTGAGGGGTTCTTTCAGCATATATTATGAGCTGAAATAGTTCAATTTTGTGCTTCTTTCACACTTCTTGTATTACACTATTAAACATCCTCCCAGGGACCAGAAGATTCAGGAAATTCTGTTTAATCACTTCATGCCCAGTATCATGGGGATCAAATTTGTAGGACGTGGGGCATGATAACCCTCTGTGGTTAAGATAACAGCACTTACCAGTTGTAAGGCATTCAATACAAAGTGAGTAGTCACAAAATTATCCCAAGCTTTTGATAGAAAGATAGAATGCTATAGAGGTTAATTTGCCCACACTCACATAATTAGTTTGTGGTAGAGTCTAGTTTGGGCTTAGGTTAATATTTTATTCTTTTGCTTTGTTAAATTTATTTATTTTTACAGTATATCCTATTTTAAGGAGGATGAGTGAGAGCTGCCTGCCTTTCACAGGAAGAAAAGGTTAGTATGAAGAAAGTTGAAGAGATAATTTGTGTAGCTCTTAGGAAACTATGTACAAAGTTACCTCCTACTGGCTCCCAGGCTCTCTCCTTCCTTCTCGTACTTTTCATCAGCATTCATTTTTCTAGAAGAAATTCACAACTCTATTGATAGGGTGAGCCTTAAGTGGGCTGATAATCTAATCTTCATATGCATGAGAAAGAGCAACTGTATACCACACATTCTCAAACTGATCCCTGCATCAGCAACAGATCAGCATTACCTGGGGAATTTGTTAGAAAGCAAACTGTGCCAGGTCTACTGAATCAGAAATTCTGGGGGTGGGAGACAGTTTAACAAGACCTCCAGTTGATTTGGCTACACATTAAAATTTGAGAACCACTACTATAGTTAAGTTTGTCAGAAAACTATTTGGTTCACCCTTAGTCCTCAATTATGAGGATAACTGTAAATATACTTTAGTAATAGAATGCCAAAGAAAGAGATATTGTCCATCAGGTACCCAATTAGCATGTAATAAGCATCTACTATATGCAAAGGACTGATAACTATTACAGGGAAAGAAAGATGAATAAAATATGGTACTAATCTTCTGTGAGATTATCTAGAGTAAATAAACTGATCATATTTGATTTGGCAATAAAACCAAAATGAAAGTAACAGTAGCCTACCTTGGTGGCTATGTGTAAAACCCTTTTGCAAAATGAATAATAGGGAATAAATTCATCATTGTATCATTGATATTACCAAATTATCTTTTGTTTCTTTTTCAGAGATGGAAGAACAAGGAGTGTTTATTAAAAGCTTTACAGTTTGAATCATAACATTCACCTGGTCAGGGACTGAAACAGAGTGCACAATATCATGTTTCTTTGATATTGCTTCTGTCTTATGAACCAGTCCCAGTCCCAGGAACCTAAGGCTAAATCAAGATAACAAACTCATCTTCTACTGGCTCAGCAATTAAACAAATTTGCAATAGAGTTTCCCTTCTATTTAACTTTTATTAAAAGAAGTGCTAAGGTACTGAGATGCAGTACATCATATTTATTACCAAAATTATTAACAAATATACAAAACTTATACATGTAATTTTCTTACATCCATTTATTCTCTATAATACTGATTTTTGTTCAAGTAGGTTATCTACAGTATGTAAACATCCCTTGGATTGACCTCACACAGATTAGGAAAGCCCTCTAACCCATGCTTTTAGCCGATACTTCTTTTTATTTGGCTTTCATTTGTAGCATTTAATCTCCACATTTGGCACATGGAAGAGACATCTACAGTGCAAAGAGGCAGATTTTCAGATTTCATTCTGAACACTTTTGCAGGAGCTAAAAGAGCTGAGAGGAGAACAGAAGCACTCTAACTCAGTAGCACTGGATTAGCTGTAATGCCAACAACTCTTGGTTCAGCTAGCTATTAAACTTGAGCACAAAGTCATTGTCTCTACCTTCTCCCACCCTCCCACCCATCCCCATGCAAGGCTGATTCAGTCTTAACCTTGTCTCAAAAGGGTTAAAAGAAATTCCATCCATTCCAGAATTGGTAGGTTAATTTCACTAAGGAACAAATTTTCAGTGTTCTTTTGTGTAGGTTATTTTTAGCGGTTTGATGATCCAGGAAAACTCTTAAATGGAAAATAAGATTAAAAAAAAAAATCTGGACATGAGAGTAGAACTTTCTACCTGTGTTCACTGGTCAACTCTGTATTTGGAACCAGAGCCTTTTTTTTTTTTCTTTTGTGGTGGCAAAGTGACAAAGGCCCTGTGAATAGCAGAAAAGCCAAGCTTGCCTAATACCATGGACTCCAAGCATTGAAACAGTATCAGAAAAATTAAAAAGAAAAAATAATTGGAGATTCTGCTCTCCTCTTCCTGGGTTTCATCTTGATTATTTAATTTAATATAATCAAGTAAAGCTGATCCAGAGAGAGCTCTGTTCGCCCTGTCCACCCCATCCTCACTCTCTAGCACAGAACTGTATTGCTCGTGTGATCTGCTTGCTGCGCCTTGTTCACGAAGTATCCTCCGAGAACGTCTGGATTTGGACGTAACCCTGCCTCCAGGCTTCCGTCACCACAAGGGCGAGGGCCCTTCCGATGCCCCATAGAGCTCGGCCAGCTTCCGGAAGCGAGGTCCCCAGTCCGTGAGGAAATCGAAGCTCTGCTCTGAGTCCGAGGTGGCTGACTGTAGGGAGCTCAGCGACCCTGCTACAGAGCCGTCCCCCTCGAACATGTATGTCTGGAGGGAGTCGAAGGGTGGGGCCCACAGGTCCATGTCGGCCTCATAAAGCTTGGCCAGCACATAGCTGTGGACAGTGCTGTTGACGGCGCATGTCTGAGGCACGTAGCGGGAGAGACTCTCAATTTCTGGCAGCATGTCTTGCCGCGTCTTGGGGGCAGCAGCTGCCTGTGCCTCCCGGGGGTTCCACATGGCCGCAATGTCAAAGGCCTCGGTGTCCTCTTCACCGCCTCCCTCGTCGTCATAGCGGACAATGTTTTCGTGGATGTTCTCATCATCGTTGATGATGTATGGCTGTTTCCGGTGTCTCCTCATGGACAGAATAAGCAGCACCAACACTGCCAGGAATAGAGAGGACAGGACGTTTACCCGCGAGGCTTGTCACTAGAAACTCTTGATTGACTGGGAGTACAGGAAGAAGTCACTAAGTGGTGAGTTCAGAGATAACATTCGGGTATTTTAAACCTCAGGGAGTTAACTAATTGAAGTCTACCTTGTTCTATTTTTGCTATGTTAGACTGAGAGTGTGTGGACGAATTAAGCCCTCCCTGTATTTCTTCAATTGGTATAATTAGAAGTTGCATGTAAACTCTCTTTACATCAGGTTGTTGCTTTGAAATAGTGTGTGCACCCAGAGTGAAATCCTACTAAAAAAGTACAAAGCACTGCGACTTGCTATGGAGTAAGATATGCTAAGAATCAGATCATGTGTTCTATTTATAATAGTAATGAATATATATTTTTTGTTGAAAATATTATCTGGGTGGAATTCTGCTTTCTTATGTTCACATCTTAATAGGATCCTAGCCTATAAATATAACCATATTTAAATGTATATGTACACACACATATAAGCTAAAGATGAACTAAAGCCATTGTTCTTTCTATACCTCCTTCAAAAAGTAAGACACAAATGTCATCTGTGATCCAGGAAACCCAGATTCCTCAGTAAAGCCTTTTATGAAAGAAATGATTGTGGCTTTCTGAATCCAGTGGCTTTCATGGAAGGAAAGGAATGAGCAGTGACATTTTATATAATTCATTGTGTTATCAAAGAAGCACCACACTATTAGATGTGCCCTTGCAGGTTTGGATAAAATTTTATCCCAACAAATGCATTTTTTTCCCCAGGATACGTTCACTGGGGTTTAAAGGAGAGATAGAGATAATTCCATTGAGCTGTTTATCTCTGTGAGTGAAAATGTTTTCCAGGAAGTGTGTTAGGTTTAGCTGTAGAACTGTATTCATTTTTTTTCTGGTGTGCTTTTGTTACAGCTGGTGAACACTGACAGTTTGACAGCATTGCAAAAATAAGATCCCAGTTTTCTCAAAGGAAAAAATGCAGTACAGTCATATGTGCAATGAGAGATTATAGTCTAGTAAAACTCAACAATGATTTTTTAAAGTATTTGAATATAGGTTGACCTTTTTGTATAAATTACAATTAATAATGTTAATACCTAATATTTTGTGACTAGCTTGGGTGACAAAATGCACATATAAATAATTATATACTCTTGTGTATGTTCTGTATGTTAAAAAGTATGAGGCATGGACTGTGGGACCTGTGGGATTTCAGGGAAGGAGACGAATAGGACTCTCAGGAAGTGGAAGCTCAAACTTGAGCATCAAAGGCTAGAGTGTGTTTTGGACTGAAGGGAGGATGAAAAAATGGGATTCTAAGTGAATATGTTGTAGCTCAATTAACAGTTAACAATTCAATTCAATTAACAGTGGGATTCAATTAACAGTTACTACTAAACCCAAATAAATGTTTATGTTCTATGATAATCAGTGGGGAAACAATATTGATTATGACATTGTTTTTGTTCTTATGAACTTGCAATATAAGGTGATTAAATATGCTAATGGTTAATATAAATCAGAGAGTTTTAGGCCTCTCATAGAGTCACAAATATTGTCAGTGGAGTACAGAGTCAGGGCCAGTGAACTCTGCCTGCTGGAGTAGGCAGGGATTCAGGTGACCTTGGGGTGGCAGTGATGGTAGTTTAAGATACTGGGAAACAACAAAAAGTCTGAGTAGTTGGGCTGGGTGGCACACACCTGTTGTTCCAGTTACCAGGGAGGCTGAGGTAGGAGGATCACTTGAGCCTACAAGATTGAGGCCAGCTAGGCAACATGGGAAGACTCAGTCTTTGATTATCTGCTGGAGGAAATGCTGATGGTGATGAAGAATTAGACACTATATAATTTGATTTAAATAATAAGTATTGCTTTATGCTCTTAAAAGTCATGCTTTGGGAAAAATGGTCCTATTCTGCTGAAAGGTTTCCTTGATTGTGTGACAGAAGAGAAATGGTTCTAGAGATGTTTATTCTTTAGGTATTATGGGCACAGTGTATAATACCTAAAGAATTGGATATATATTCAAGACATAAGAAAGCACTGCCCCATTGAAATTGTCAAAATTAGTGTATTTAATTGTTCACAAAAATGTAGTATTTTGTTGATAGATCAGCTGCAACTAAATTTGTACACAGTTTTATGAATTGTTGCTAATATAGGAATACGAATGCAGAAAAGTGAGGTTTTTATGACACCTATGTTTAATTTAGCTCTTGAAAACTGTTTACTTATTCTGTACAGTTCAAAAGACAACACATAATGAGTTGGAGAGGGATGAAATAAATTATCCCTTTCATACTACTTCTAACTAGATATAGCTCCTTCGAGTCAGTCTCTTTAAATCAATCTCTCTGTAATGATGGGCTCTTCGTGGGCAAGGGTGAATTTATAATATTTTCCAAAGATAGAATTAAGGACAGCTAGTCTGGAAATTTCTCCTGGGAGAAAGTTTCTTCAAAGGCTTCTTCTAGGTGGTTCTATTCTGCTCAAGGATTACCAATGCCACCTTATGGACATTGAAGAAATTGCAGGTAGGTTTTGTTTGTCGTGGACAAACCATAACAAGAAATTTAAGGACTTAGAAAGGTTACTTATTTTTTGCTACTTCTCCTTTCATGTGAAACAGAACTACTACAACAAAATTAAACTACGTGTTGTGAAAGCCAGTCCCACAGCCCTATCTGGAAAGTCAGTCAAACGCTGCTATTTTATACAAGGAAGAATTTCTTTCTTTGATCTGACTCAGTCTCTCGGTGTTTAGGAAGAGTAGAGATCAAGAGTATATATGAATATCTGCAAGTATATTTTAATTTAAATCTCCAGTGCTTTATTTTTTTCCTCAGAGAAAGCTGGGATTTCTTTTACTTTGAATGATGTTGTCTATTAATTTTGCTTTTCCCTAAGCAGGGATGTTTATGCTGTGATTTAATTTAGTCAGAAGAGGTGGGATATATAAATATATATACTTTTTCTTGGGTCCAAAGGATTATTTAAGTATTTACTTTTGATGGTGAAATTAGAAGACAGTTACACAAATGGCCTTATGTATGAGGTAGGTGGGTGCCTTACAATATGACTTGAGAGGAAAAGGAATGATTCTCTACCCTAATAGTGTTCTCTCACTAGCCTTCCATCATCTCTTTGTATTTTACCAGAAGCAAACTAGCTTTGTTTAGATATTGCTCTTTGTTGGATGGTGTCAGTACCTAGGAGGGGCACTAATAACCGCAAACAGCTTATTCCCCACAAATCTGTGGCTCACCTACCACTTCCTTCAGATTTCTGTTAAAGTTCTACTTTTCTATGAGGACTTTACTGATTATCCTTTGATTATCTGCTGGAAGAAGTGCGGATGGTGTTGGAGAATTAGGCACCTTATAAAATTGGTCTGTCTCTTCAAAAATAAAGATTATTTTATGATAATTTGACTTATATAATAAGTATTGTAGTTTGCTCCTAAAAGTCATGGTTTGGGAAAAATGTTCTTATTGTTTGAAATGGCACCTCCTCTTTACCAAGCCTTGTCTCCCCAGGATGCACACCCTGTGCCTCTTTCTTTCTGGGTAACAGCATCTTCAAAATCTGCACATGAGCATTTAAGAGAAGAGCAGTGCGGCTGAGCTAGGGTGTCTAATAAATGGCCTGCCTGCATTTCAGTCCTGGATATGCCTTTGACATTTGGCTTTGGGCCTGTCACTTAACCTCTGTTTCAGCTGCTGTTTATCTGAAAGGAAGGAATTAGAAGAGGTGATCATCATATCCTGTCAAAATTGTAATTTTGGTTCTGTGATGTCAAAATGAAGTTATTTCATTCCGAAGTGAACTCTATGAAGTCTAACCCCAGTGCCTATCATGGTTTTGTGGCCTGTTGTAGATGCTTGGTGAATACATGTGCTTTAATCTTGCCAAAAAGGCTTGAAGGAAGGGACTGTCTTTAATTTCTGCACTTTTTCCCAAGCTTCATTATACCACCTTTTCAGTAAGTATGGCATGATAGACTAGTTTTAAATAGCTGTGTGAGGGGGATAACTGACTGCTATCCTAGTAAGCAGGAATCCACACAAAGGAAACGAGACACTTACTCACCTAAGAGGACAAAGATGCAGGCCAGAATGGCGATGAGGGCTCCCCGGCTCAAACTGACTGGGAGCATGTATGCCTCAGGGCTGCAGGACATGACGTGGCCGTCGTCATCGCAGCTGCACACCTGAATGGTCAGTGTGCCCGTGCTGCTCAACACTGGCTGCCCACTGTCTGCTATCAGGATAGGCAGGTAAAATATGCTCTGCTCTTGCTGCCGGAAGCCAGACCTCCTGGTGAGAATCCGGGCAGTGTTATCTGCAGAAGCAGGGGGTTCCACAGTTGAAGAAGGAAAGAAAAAAGTGAGAGAAGACAATGAAGAACCAACAAGTGAATTAATGTTTTGGACTGAGAAAGGCAAGGAGTGCAGGGACAGGGAATAGGAAGAACAGTTGACATTTCCTGGTGGTGTTCACCTGTAGCCACAGTTAAGTTGGCTGGATCAGCATTTGGTTTCACAAACCCAAGATTTTTGCTTGCTTTTAAGCAAAACCCTGAGGCTTAGGAGGGAAACCCTTTTTTGAGAATCTGTCTCACCCGTTTGACATAAAATGCCCAGGGCAAACTGTCAGCCTTCAGATCTAACAGAAGTGTCCCTGGAAAGCCTTGACAGAAGTGAACAGTCACTTGTGAATTGTGGTCCCTGTTTGCTCCTGCTCAACAGCTTGTGGAGGCCCTGGTGCTGCTTTCTGCCTCCAGGAAAAGAATGCTGAAGAACCCATGTGGTTGTGGCAGACTGCTTATTTTTGCCACTTTAGCTAGAATTCATGTCTGTTGCTAGTTTTTTTTTTTAATGCCTCAGAATTGCAGTTACCAACTTCCTGAAGAACTTGCTCATTTAGCAGTGGCCTATTTAAAATTTCACAATCCTATGACACCTTATTATTTTTTCTGGCTTCATGGTCTAAGTTTAAGCAGTTAATATGAGATTGGTGAAAATTATTCCTAATCAGTAATATTTGTTATTTTTTATTCCAGTTTTTAAGTTTTTAAAATTGATAATGTACATCTTTATGGGGTACAGTGTGATGTTTCAGTGCATTTATATATTGTGTAGTGATCAAATCAGAATATTTAGGTTATTCATCATTTCAAACATTTACCATTTCTTTGTGATGAAAACATTTAAAATTGTCTGGGTATTTTGAATTATCCAATATTGTTGGGTGTAATCATCCTTCTAACACCAAAACTATTCTTCCTTTAGCTGAATTTTTAGATTTGTTTCTGCAAAGCTGGTGTGTGCATATGAGTGCATGCGGACGTGTGTATGTATGCATGCGTGTATTTATATTTATATTTGCCTAATGTTATGTGTGGGGATTTTTTTACCTTTTAAATTTCTATTCACAAGTTTCCTGGAGTGGCTTTAAATTCTAATGCAGATATATTTTTGCAAAGCTCAGAACATTTCAGCAGACAAAGTTTGAGAGATGTGTTAGAACATATAAGAAGTCACTTTTAAAGCTAGTACCATTAACACATTAACACAGATTCCCTGGATGTATTTCTCATTTCACAGGGTAGGGCCTAGAATTTCACACACACACACACGTACACAAATTCTGAGAGCTTAATGAAAGGAGACATTTTTAGTGATCATCAATATTTATGACACTCAAATGGTGCTGGGAAAACTTGCTATCCACATACCGAAGATGGAACCTAGATCCATATGTCTTACCATGCACTAAACTAAAATAAAAATGGATCAAAGATCTAAAAATTAGAACAGAAACACTTAATTTGTTGGTAAAACTCTTGAAGACATAGGTTTAGGGAGAGACTTTCTGAAGAAAACCCTGATTGCACAAGAAATAATACAAATAATTAACAAATGAGATCACATCAAATTAAAAAGCTGCTGCACAGCAAAGGAAACCACCAACAGAGTGAAGAGAAAACCTACAGAATGGGAAAAAATTTTTGCCAGCTACTCCTCACACAGAGGACTAATATTAGAATATATAAAAAATTCACAAAATTAGACCCCCAAATTCAAAGACCCAGTTAAAAAATGGGCATGTAAAATGAATAGACATTTCTCAGAGGAAGAAATATAAACGGCCAATAAATACATGAAAAAATGTTCAACATTGTTGGTCATTCGAGAAATGCAAATTAAAACTACACTGAGATTCTATCTCCAGAAAGAATGGTTACCATCAAGAAATCAATCAATAACAAATACTGGCAAGGCTGTGGGGAAAGAGAAACCCTTCTTCATCGTTTGTGGAAATGTAAACTGATCAACCAGTATAGAACTCATCATGGAGATTCCTTAAAAAAACTAAAAATAGAAATTCCATTTGACCCAACTATTGTCCTACGTATTTTCCCAAAAGAGTTAATTAAAGACATCATACCACAGTGATGTATACATATCCATGTTTAGAGCAGCACAATTCGTAATAGCTGAATCTTGGAAACAGCCTGTATGTCAAACAACAGATGAATGGATAAAAAAATGTATTTATATACAGTGGAGCATTATTCTGCTGTAAAGAAGGATAAACTTGACTCATTTGTAGGAAAATGGATGCACCTTCAGACCATAATGTTAAATGAAGTAAATCAGAAACAGAAAGTTAAATATTGAATCATTTCTCTTATATTAAAAACTTAATATACAAATAAAGTATGAAATAAAAGACATAATAGGAAAAAAGAGAAAAAAGTTACTGTAATCCAGCATGGACAATGTATCTAAAAGTGTACCTTGACTTAGTATAATTGTCTTATGTGTTTTATATGTTTTTTTGCCTGTTAGTCTGGTTTTTAATCTGTATATATGATAACTAACTGTATAAGGTCTTATAGGATAAATGACTTTCATGCTACCAAAATAAAAGGGGGTGGAGGGAAGGGGAAAAAAAGAATTGAAATATGTTTTGTACCTATGCCAATTTCTTACAATGAATGTAATTATTTATTGCAAACATACTAATAAAAGTTAAAAATATTTATGGTTCTCTTCTTGGATATAGTAAAGGATTACACTTTACTACCTTTTTGAATTTGGGCTTATCTATGTGATTTGCTTCAGTGGATAAAAAAGAGCAAAAGTGATTTATCTCACTTTGAGGCAGAAGCACATGAGAGCTGGTGTAGAATTTTGTGCTTTCTTGCATTGTTATGGCAACTAAAAGAATGTGTGAGATGGAAATCCTAGTAGTCGGGAACACTGAGCTGCATATGGTAGACCGATGCCTTGGGTCACAAAGAGGCACAGGGAGCTTTCTTTTGACCAAGACATTAACTTTAGTTTCACTAAGTCACTGAGATTTTGGTAGCCTGTTCTTGTAGCATAGCCTAACCTTTTCTTACCAATAAATTATCCCCTAATTACCTTTCCCTTCTCCTCAGGTCCCTGTTTTTTTCATGGTAGCAGCTATGATTTCTTAAATGCTCAAGTTCCAGTGTTACTTGCATTCCACATGTAGTATTTCATTAGCTCTTCACAAGAATTGGATGAGATAGTGATAATTTCATGCTTTTACAGTAAGATAACGCCTAAGCAATTTTATGATTTGTTCAGTCACTAACTTAGCTAGTACCAGAGCTGGGATTTGAGCTCTAGTAACTGTGATTCTAAAGTATGTTCTTTTATTGTACTGTGCAACCACTTATTTAGTTTAGTAACATTAACTGTCAAAGTATTCAGATAATCATAATCGCTTCCTTCTTCAGTACAGGCTACTTTCCTCTTTTCTTTTCCGTGGAAAAACACAGCAGTTACTGTGATTATATCATATAATATTCACTTACCACACAGTCCATCCACTTGCCTTTCTGTTTTCCAGGACTAATAGGTAAATCCTATTAATTCTATTTTGTAGTCTTAAGTTTTTTTGTTTTTTTCAGAAATCAAGTTTTTCTCTAAACCAATCTATTTTTAAAATGTTTTTGCTTTAAACCATGCTAGGTCATAATGCTTTTAGGAAAGACTGACTAGAGTGGAATAGTATAGTCTGCCTACTAAACGTTATGTTTCTTGATCTGAGAATTATTCAAGAGTAAAGGAAAAAAAATAAAAATCAAAAAATAAAAAGAGTAAAGGAAAAATTCTCAGCTTCATATGGTTGAGTCTAATCCTGGGAGGGAACCAGCATATATTATTAGCCATTTGGAATTTTTTTTTTGAGTGTGATAATTAGGGCCTTAGTATACTGTTTGCAAAGAATATTTGTTTCTCAGGTGAGATGACACAAAACACTTTCATGTTTGTGTGTGTGTGTGTGCGTGTGTGTGTATGTGTGTGTGTGTGTCAGGGGGCCTATATCAGGATCCAAATTCTAGTCTCAGTGCTTACTCACTTTCTGATTTGGGGTGGTTCTCATACTTTCTTCAGCTGCCAAATGGGATAATGACAATCAGACATATTAGTAAATTTCTTAAAACCTTGAAGATTACTGTAAATATCAAATAAATCAAAGTATGAGAAAATACTTTAAAACTGTAAGGTACTATTTACTACACAGTCTTTTTAATGATGTGTTCCCTCCCCACCTTTTTTTAGGTACAGGTCTCCTGTGCAATTCAGGCCGGGCTTGAACTCACTATGTAGTCCGGGCTGGCCTTGAACTTGTAGCAGTCCTCCTGCCTTAGCCTCTTTAGGGCTGGGATTACAGGCATGCGCTACTATGTCTGGCCCTTTGCATAATGTTTTTGAGGCAGAAAAATGAGAAAATAATGTGGAGGGGCTTTATGTGAGATAGTGTACTGTTGTGTTCATAAAAGGACATCATGTTTGAGGCATGGGAGCTGTCTGGGGCACTTTGCAGTAGATAGCCATATTAGATATTGGTGAGTTTTTTTTTTAAATAAGCCGTGATAAAGAATGCTGATGGGATAAATTGTCATGTGGAGATAAGGAGTTCATGCTTTCTGTTGAGGATGTGCTGACTTCTATTTTGGGCTTTCTTCCAAATGATGAATCATATCTTTTTATTGTCCTATTATTGTGGCCCATCTTTGTAAGACATTGGTTCTATGAATTGTGTTCACAGACATCTTTAAGAAACTTGCACTATTTTGCTGCATATTGTTTTTGTATTGATTTTGGCCAGTATGAGAATGAAGAAATAGAATGACACTTAGCTGAAAATTTGAAGAAAGAACATAATATGTTATAACCTCCACTCCAGGATTTCTTTTGTAAGACCAACCCTGAAGAGATTGAAACGACTCTTTGTAGGAAGCATTTCCCTATGAAGCAGATAATGAATAGTTCAAAAGATCGGCCCAGTAGAAGTCTCAGGATATTTAATTGTGGTATTTTAGTTGTGATTCATATTGTCCTTCCTTCCAGAAGTAATCATAGTGATTTTATGATAATATGTAGAAGGCTGAAGATAGTTTCTATTTAGAAGAAAACACATTTGAGAGTCTCAAGTTTTATGACATAATATATAGAGTTGAATTGGTATCTTAAATTTCATCATGACTGTTTAGTACCCTTTGTTTAGATTGTTATGGAGTTACAATTATTGGTTTTGAATTATAATGAAAATGAGGTTACTGCAGCCTAAAGAAGTGATGACCTCCCCAAGGTCAGATGCCTAGTTGGTAGCAGAATTAACAGAAGTGGATCATTTGACAAATTTAAATTACTTTTTCAAATGTTCTGAGCTTTCTTTGAAGCAAATCATCTGGCCAGAGAGCAAAAGTTCCTCTTTTTTTCCCACCTGTGTGCAAAGAACATTATGCTTGGTCTATACAACCCTTTGTTGATCTGAATGCTTGTTGAAAAAGACAGGCCTAGAATTCTAATTTCAGCAAAGATAGAGTGGGGGAGCACTTTCTGCAGTAGGAATCCCACCTGGATATATCTCTTTAGGTTGTTTCAATGCCAAAGCTGCTGTTTGTGGTTCCTGTATTTTCTCTTTGCTCCTTCTGTTATTTAGCTTTTGCCCTTTTGTTCTGAGAACTCTTCACTGTTTTTTCCTTTGATTAGAAATGTTCTGTTGAGTTTTTCATCTTTATTTAAGTCACTTTCTATCATTGTTCTCAGGTTATTCCCAGTATTACCGAACATGTAAACGTGGCCACTATCTGTAGGAATAAAGGAAGGATTTTGCCTCTGTGCTTTGAGTAGTGTTTGGTATAGAACAAGTTTCAATAAATATTTGACAACTGAGTGTTTTGAGTCAGCAGAGGGCACTCTGTCTTTGATGTTCTGAAACAAAATTTAAAGAATAAGAATTGACATTAATGTCCTGCTGTTAAAGAGCAGACAAATTTTGACACTGTTTGTATGATGCAGTAACCAAAAGTATCTATTCTGTGCTGTGGAGAAGCACAGACAAATTTTACCTTGGTTGTTCTTTACGGTGAAGTTGGGGTTGTTAGCAGCCTCAGGAGCCAAGCTGTAGTAGAAATGTTGACCATTGTGTGGGTCATCTTGGTCCACAGCACTCACTGTCTGGATCAGCTAAAGAAGGGATATGAAATCAGGTGAGCTAGAGTCAAAGGAAAAAACTTTAGGGCTCAGTGAAATCCCAGACCTTGAAATCGAATGACAGGTTGTTTTTCCTAATGAGAAGGATGGCATGATGCTTACTTGAAAGTCTCCATGCTATCACATAATTACAAATAAATTTTGGTTTATTGTTGGACCTATGTTAATGGGCATAGGATAAATGTTACCTAAATACCTCATGTTAGACATCAGTATAACTTATAGTCCCAAACCACAGCTAGTCATTTTTAGGCAGTGTAAATATAAGACCTTGAGTAAAGAGATTCTGGGGTGCCACAGATTCTGCTTATCCCACATTTTTCCTCCTCTCATCTGATTTACTTAACATTACTGGGTGAATATTTCAGGGTTAAATCACTATCTTTATGAATCTCTGGTTTAAGAATGACCATCACCTAGGAGAGAAGTAAGCAGACACATCAGCATTGGCCGTTAAGTTAATGGAAAGCATATGTGAGAGGATGGGTCATGGAACAATTACATTTTGTTGACAGGAGGGGGAGCTAGAAAAGGTGGATAATACAAGATCTCTAGGGTGGGACTTTGCTAGAGTTAGAAGCATAGCTTGGTGGTGGAAAGAGCAAGAGTTGAGGGAGTTTCCTTTTGAACTCTGGCCTTTCCACAGTGCTTTTCAAAGGAGTAAGTTTCTGTGAAAGCTGTAGAGACTGTGAGGAAAAGCTATTAAAGAAAGCAGTGTGAAACAGACTGTTGGAACATTAGTGGGTGGACTGGGAGGATATAGAAAGGTATGATCAGGTAGTCTCCTTATGGGTTTGCTTCTTAACATAGATGACTCCTACTTTCCTTGGACCTGGCTCTGTACAGTTGCTACTCTTGTTAAGAGGCTGGGTGTGCTTCTATGGGGATAGAAATGTAAGTATCAGAGGTTGGCTCAATGGCTCAGGTGGGCTGTGTATTAAGGGATGTAATGCTGCTCTCACAATATGTTGGAGATTAGGGGAGCTCCCAGCAAGGGATCTCTGACACTGTGTTGCTTCATAGTGAAGGACCTGTCTCAGCCTTCACTGAAGGACTTGACCCAGCCTTCAATAATTTCTTTAGGGATTGTCTTCTTGAGGTCTGTCTCTATTTCAGACAGCCACCTGAACCATGGTCACTTTGCCCTTATAGGGCATACCATATCCAATGACCAAATGATGTGGTGTACGAAGTTCTGGCCATTTCATCTCAATTTGGAAAAACTTGTTCTATAATCCTCTATGGACTTTTAGTGGGTCTATGTCACAGCTGAACTCTTTCGCTCAATCTTCCTTCCTTACCTTTACCAAGCCTTATACCAGAACTGTGTCTCAGCCTATGCTTGCTGGAGAACCTGATGTTGAATCAGAAAGTAGAGGGAATGGGGTTGGCAGTAAATCCAGGAAAGCAGTAGAGATACTCTCACCCACAGTAGCCTTGTGTGAATCATGCTGACAAGCAGGGGTTGCCCTCTCCCTTACCTTGATCTAGGGACAAATCCTGTACTTTTTATCTTGCTTGCCAGATATTATTTAAAGAGATAACATATTTCTTGAGAAATGTTATAAATAGGTGATTATGTAGTTAGAAAAGTAGTTTTAGAACATCTGACCTATGAACTGTGCATGTTTTGGTGCAGTGCAACCTCAAGCACGGGGTTGGGTAAGAAATTGTAGAGAGTGAGTGAGTGAACACTGAAGCATGGAAGCACCACAGCCTGCTCTCTTGCTCTCCATTCTCTTGGTAGGTCAGATTTCTTCCTCAACCCCAGCTGTCATGCAGTGTTCTGATCAGCAGGTTCCATTCTGCCCTCTGCCATCACCAAGTATGCGTCACACTTCTCCACAGGCTTTGTTCATGGATGCTTGCTCAGGCTAAGAGGAAAGCATGTATGGATACTTGGGAGGTGTGAAACTGATGACAGTGTCTGGCAGTAAAGGCAAGGAGGCCTGTTAAGTTCTTAAGCCAGATGTATTTCCTGAACTGTGTGCTTTTGAAAAAATCTTCAAAACATTTTCCAGAGCCCAAATCCAAGGGTAGGATTTTCAGTATTCTGGGATAAACCTGACAAATGTGACAGATAGGTGCCTCAGAGCCTGAGCCCTAAATCACAGATAAGCTGCACCTCAAAGCACTGCATGATAGACCATTAGAGATGTCCCTAAAAAATGGAGGATACATTTGGCTCCAAAAACAGGAGAGGTGATTAAGGTGCTATCAGCCTGTCACAGTACAACTTCTCCTGTTCCAGAGCCCTTTAAGATTGGAGCACTTAGTCTTGGGGGAAGAGGGGACTTACGTTACTGTGCTGTTTCTCTTCTTATATTATAGATCAAATAAGCCTCTTTTCTCATGATATAAAATATATTTTTCATATTTTATTTTCATAAGATAACATACTAAATTATATATAATTATCATATTATAATATGTAGCAAACATTAAAACAGAGACTCAAATCTCCTCACTCAAACTCATCTACCTTAGCACAGTAACTGTGGTATTTTTGCATCTTTCCTCCAATTAGTGTTCACATGTAAACATAATTATATAAAATTGCTAGTATGAATATGTAGTTTTTATACTTCTTTTCTTATAAATAACATGGATCATTTCTTGGGCTGTAAAGTTTTCATTGTAACTTTTATTAGCAGCATAATATTTCAAGTCTTCCTAGAACAGAAATTTAGTAGATGTGGAAGCAGAATTATCCTTATTTTGGAAAAAAAAAATTTAAGGAGGGCTATAGACCATTGTACCAAATTTCGTGGATCACTGAATGAGATCAGTTTAGATTGGAATCATTATAGGACATCTTGTTTCTACAGAGGGATGGGAATCAGTTTTTGCTTTGACAGAGTAGAATGGTAGAGATGTATTGGGTAAATCTTTAGGGAGCTTAGGGACACAATGTAAGTATTGATCATACAGACATGGTCTCTTTGTGCAGCAAGTTGCTGGGGGTGGTGTTCCGGGTGAGTAAGAGACATGAAAAAAAAGCTATAGAGACTGAATTACCAAAGCAGGCTTGCCTTAGAAATGTGCACATCCCAGATTCCCAGCCTTCACATTAAAATATTAAAATGATTCCAATCCATTTGCCCAACCAGAACCCATAGGACTATAGGAAGTACATCAGAACTGTTTGGAAGTCTGTTGGGTCAAAGGTACAAGAGGAAACTATCTTTCAAAACCAGGACAAGAGAAGGACACAGAAAGGCCAGTTTTAAAATGGGCAAGACCCAACATATACATTAATATACACTTACTCCAAATAGAATTCTGTATGTTTCTCAGTTATACCACTTGAAATTGATAAACCAAATATTTAGTTAGATTGAAAAGCATACCTTAAAAATAGATACCTATGTCTCTGAAGATTATGGAACTATAGTTAGCTTACATAAGTAGAACTCTGTGCTCCCTCAGATTACTTTCCACCCAACAGTCGCCTGACATGAATAGCACTAAGAAAATGAGAGTTTATAAATTGAGAGCAAAGAGAGAGTAGATAATTCTATGTAATGAATCATTCCAAGAATAGGATAGGCAGGTCCTAAACAGGCTTCTCCCAGCCAGAAGTTAAAAAATGGAGATGGGAAGATATTGCAAATAGAATTTTCCTACTGCATAATTTTTTCAGAGATTGGTGCTATAGTCAAGAAAATAGAAGACTCTCTTCTTGAGTTGTATGATCCCTCCCTTCTGGACCCATGGCAGATATTTTTTATAGTTGAACACCATATGATTTGCTTTCAAGGTGAGTAGATACCTTAATAGGCTACCCTGAGAATTAAGCCACCATCAAAGCCCTATTTAGATCATAAAATGTAATATAGGCTCCACAAAGTTGTCTAAACAAATAAACTGTTGAAACCTGATATACAAAAGTCGAAGGCCCTTTTGTAAACTTACTTTCTGGAGTGGAAATGTCTTTGAAAGCAAATTTGGTTAACTGTAACAGTTGCTTCCACATGTTGAGAATTTATCAAGATGCCTGATTCACATGTTGTCTTACCTGCCCGGCTTTGGCATTCTCACAGACAAAAGCTTCGTAGAATCTGGGGAACTCTGGAGCATTGTCATTCACGTCTAAGACTTCAATTGTGACAGAAACACTTCCCACCTGGGAGGGGTTATCTAAAGAGAACACAAGGATAAGTAAAGGTGAGAGCTTAATAATGCAGAAATGTACCTCTTTTCTGGAAGTAGGTATTTATTTGATCAGTCTGGTTTGTAAAGGAATAGATAAAGTACATGGTCTGTATGTTTGTTAAAAGTGTGTCCAGACACAGAAACTTGGATAGGAGGAGGTGTCTGCTGGGGATATATTTCACATTAAGAGTATGAAGCGGGAAGCAAGTGCCACAGACGGAGTCTTAAAAAGAGAGTTTGTTACTCCTGGTTGGCTCATACTTTGGGTTCTGGAATTAAAGGCAGGTTAATTCTGTATTCTGGACTTTAAAACAGCCCATTTCTAATGGAATGTGTGGTGTGTGGCACTGCTTGGCTTTATTCCTGTGGAATAATCAGTTCTTTGAATTATATTTCAAAAAGGTTTCAAGTTATTCACTGGAATACAAATAACACTGAACATTCATTTGTTCTGGGACTAAAGGGATATTACAGGATCAGACCCACACCAAATGCATTATCTTTGGCTGGGGCAAGAAGCCACAGGCGTTCATGGGGAGACTTGTATTTTTGGTCTGTGTCTTTTGCTTGGTATTACCACACAAGGACAATTTCAGAGTCCCAGTGGTGGTGTTCCTGTCTTTTTTTGTTTTGAACACTATCCAAAGAAGCAAAACAAAAATTACAAGACACAGAAAAAATTTTTTTAATAATAATTTTACCAAATCTCAGAATGCACTGTTTGTTGGTTCAGTTTTTCTTTCTTTTTCAAAAACTTCTCTGTTCTTTGTTTTTTTCCCCAAAATACTTTTCCTGCTTGGTTACCAGAAGACATCAACAAAATTAGATTTATGTTGTCATTATTATTGGTACTTATTTTTAAAAGGAATAAAGTTCCAGAAAAAAACATGACATAAAGAAATATGATCCATAATCTTATCACCAGAGGTATCCATTATAACATCATATATATGTCCCCAAATATGGAACTACACACACACACACGTGCGTGCACACCCACAAACTGCACTGAAGCAAAATAAAAATTGGACTCAGAATAATTTTAGAGCAATATTATTCTGTTATTGAATATGTTTTGAGAATATGCAGACATGATACTCTAATTTTACTATAGGATGTAGCATAATTTAGTCAGTCTCCTGTTTATTAGTCACTTAGATAATTCTCATTTCCCCCTATATAAAAATAACACTGCTTGCTGGGGATTTAGTTCAGTGGCACTGTACCTGCCTCGCAAACACAAGGCCCTGAGTTTGATCCCTGGTACAAACTAACTAACTAACACTGCAGTGGATATTTTATTATAAACATTTTTGTTAATATCTATATTTCATTAAGATAGTTGCTAGCAGAATATTTTGAAGACTTTATATTGCTAAATTGCCTTCCTGAATAGCTGTGCCTACTTATATAGCCAATATGATAGGAACTGCTATTTTCATGAGCTTTTGCCATCACTAGGTATTATGAAAAAAACTGAACATAGTAGTATCTAATCTAATTTTTTTTGGTAGTGCTAGGGATTGAAACCAGGGCCCTGTGGATTTTCAAGTGCTCTACCACTGAGTTATATCCCAGGCCCTTCTGTTAAATTTTCAACCTATCTCTTTATGTAGTTTTTATTAATTTTCCATTCCATTTGTAGGCTTTTATGTTAATCAATCTTCCTATTATGATTTAAATCTGAATTGTACCCTCAGTCTCATATGTTCTGATGTGGGTCCTGGCTGAAGAGGTGGGTCACTGGGGATGTGACCTGAAAGGGCGTATTCTTCTAAGTCTTCCCTTCTTCATTCTCTACTTCCTAGGCGCCATGAGGTGAGCAGTTTTCCTTAGCCATACCCTTACACTATAATATTTCTTTCTTGGAGCTAGATAAACATAGATTCAATTCTCTGAACTATGAGCCAAATTAAACTTCTTGTCCTTTAAATTATAGGTGTCAGGTATTGTGTCCCAGCAACAGGAAAGTTGGCTCATACAGAGAACTGTTATCAGGAATGGGGTCATTATTGTGACTTTACCTAGTTATGTAGTTCAGAAGCCTTTGGATCTTGTTTCTGGAGGAGTTGGGAAAAGTTTTTGATAAGTGAGTTAGAGAAGCCCTAGGTTCCTATAAACAGAGCTTGATGGGTAATCCGGTTGTAGCTCAGATCAGAATGCAGTTAGGAATGTAAGCAGTAAAGGCCCGGTGCATGAGGTTTCAGATAGGAATGAAAACTCTATTGGAAACTGTACTAGAGACCATGTGTATTTCCATTGACAAAGAATTCGTTTACATTTTGCCCATGTGCTAAGACTTTGAGAAGAGAGCCCCTGGGTACCCTGTTCATTCACAATGGCCTAGGGAAATGTTTCCCTGAGTTTAACCACTCAAAGTTCAGCCATCTAGTGTTCAGCCATCCAGGCATTCAGAGGCTGCCACAGTTACAGTCCAAGGAAGCCAGGTCACTGCTTCAGCTGGTGGCAGACCTTGGCATTATCCATCTGGTGCTGTTTTTTCAGGCATTCAACATACAAGAGTTGTGGGGTCTTGAAGGCTTCCACCCAGATTTCAGAAGAAGGCCTGGGATACCACACATTGTGTCCCTGGGAAGGCAGTGTGTAAATCTGTGAAACTGAAGGTGAAAATACAGTGACAACCCAAAGAAGTGAGAGATGCAGGAACATGGAACATCTCCCAAGGAAACCTGCAGGCAGAGCGTAGAACCACCACAAGAGAGAAGCTATGTGGGCTGTAATGGGCAAGGCCATAGGGGCAGGCCTGCCCAAGCTCTTAGGAGTTCATTTCATGCTACAACCTGCCCCAAGTACTGAATAAGCAACTACAGGATTTAATGTTTGCCCTGCTGGTATTTTGATCTCATTTCTTTCTATTCCTTATTTCTCCCTTTTGGTAAAAGGCTAAAGATTTATGCGATCTGAAGAGAAACCAGAGTATTATTTCTACTTTTTGGAATGAGAATGTTTATCTGGTGCCATTGTATGTTGCGAGTATTTAACTTTCTTTTTTAATTTTTACAGGAGCTCATAGCTAAAAGTTTGCTTTAGGCCTCAGAAGAGACTTTTTTTTTTTTTGTATTAAATTCTTTTATTGGTACATTGTAGGTATACAACACAATTACATTTCTCATTGGGAATTGTACCTTTACATAATGCATC